GCAGGAATGAAAACAAAGAAAAACAGAGAGAGATCTATGTTATAAGAAGAATGAGTTTTGGAAGGTATTGTAGACAGTCCAGAGAAGTTAAGACTGCATAATTACTTTTGGATCGGGGATGCCTGGGTGATGAGAATGGAAACCAGTTTAGAAAAATTGATGATTTAAGATATAAAATGGTTGTTGTAGAGAACAGTGGCATGTTGGTAGGAGCCAGTGAAGAGAAAGAGAAGGAAAATGCAAGAGAGAGGTATATAGTGAAACAGGCTCTGAGGAAGAGCTGAATCAAGAGAAAGGAAACGATCCTGCTGCATAAAGAGGGAAGAGAGGTGTCCTGTCTGAGCCAAGAAGAGAAGTTTCAGGGTGAAAAGTAAGCCGTCAGGGTGGAGCCCGACAGAATTTGCTGTGAACATCTGTGAAGGTGAGGGGTTCTGAAGTTCTCCATGATTTCTCTTAGACACACAGCCAAATAGCAATAACTGCACCAATGCTGCTTGATTTTCTCTTTAATTTTAAGGATAAAGAATTAAGGAAACTCAACTAGTTGATCTCCAAATTACGGTTTGAGAGAAAACAAGTCATTTTTAATGAGCTGCGTTGATAAAAACAAAAAATTTATATACTGAACCTTCAACTAGTCAAAATCTTTGGGGCCCAAAATGTACAAATTCACCCCTACTTTCACACCAGAAGCCTGGAGACCTACACTATCCAATATAGAAACCACTGGCCACGTGGCTATTTGGGCTGAAAAGTCAAAACTTGAGTTCCTCAGGTGCACTGGCCAAATTTCAGGTGCTCAGGAGCCATGTGTAACTCATGGCCATCCACTGGACAGCTCACAGATGGAACATATCCACTCTTGTTAGAAGTCCTATTAGACAAGCTGCTTTGGACATATAGATGAAACCAGGCATGTACCAGTTCCTGTTCTGTAGAGTGTGTTTTTTTCCTAACTAACTAAATCATTCATAGGAACTAACACTTTTACCATGTTTCTTTCTCCAAAAAAGGCCAAAGGTTTATGTTTTCACAGGGTCCTGTTAATCAAGATTTCATTGAACAAACACCAAAAAAGAGTCTCATCAGACTAGGTCAAACTCTTAGTATTTGTTAGATCTCCAGAGGACCTTGCATGCCCCCCAATTCTGTGTGTTCATTTTATAGAAGAGAGAAAAGAGACCCAAAGATAGGGAGCTCTTAGTGATGCCAGGATAGACTCCTCTGCCCTGCAGTAAAGCAGGGAATTAGCTTGTGATGTCAGACCTAAGAGATTAGAGAGTAGCCCCATGGTCCCTTGACACCCCTATCACAAAATGTTATAGATCAGAAGACTGATTTCTCTCCGCCATGACTCTCCTTTTTTCTGTCCTTACCACGCTCACACTGGATGTGCACATCTTCTTAAAATGAGTACAGCTGAAAAACAAGAGCCTAGAACTTGACACCTATCTTTCTTGAATATTTCATACCTAGCCTTTGGGATTCTAATGGAAATCAATTATAGTACAGAGTGCACATTCATCTTGTTTGCCTAAGATGAAAATCTGCAGTCAAACAGAACATGTTTTGGGATTTGCCTACAAATGTGGTTGCCATGACAACACCTGGCTTAGCATCACTCCAGTAACAGGATGACCTAGTATATTAATCTAGGTCCTCATGACAGCGTCCTGTTCTACGATGTTTGATTTCATTATTTTCATTATTTTCTGTCTGTTAAAGGCATTCTTGGACTCAGTAGCATATCACTTAAATGCTAAAATTAAGTTCAGTTAAAGAAACCAGCTGAAAAAATGTTTTGTTCTTTTATGATGGTTAAGCTGGGAATAGAGTTGGTAGTTAGTGGACTGATAGGATGAGCCTTCAAATACAAAGATAAAGGTAACTGTAATAGATGCTGCTGTGCCTAGTCTGATCTCCTCTATGGGGTTGGTGCCGCAACCCTCGGTGTCTAGGAGTACGGGCTGACTGCAAATCACAGCTGCACTTTTCTCCCTAGAGTTACCCTCAGACTCATGGGAGTTCTCTTGCCTAGAAAAGGAAGGTTCTGTAAAACCTCTGACACCCTTAGCTGAGTGATATGGGGTTACAAAAGCCCAGTCTCCTTACCTCAAGCTAGAACAACACCAGAGGGCTGTTTATCCTAAAGAATTTCCTGTAGGATCAGACGGAAGCTGGATTTCAGCTAGAAAGACACTCAAGCTCCTTCCTTTGCCCTATCCTGCTTCTCTCCCACCCTCTAAGGGATTTCTCCCGAGAGCCTTCCCTTGATAAATCGTGTGTACACAAATCCCCTTTTCAGGCTCTGATAGTAGGGAACCTGACCTAAAACAATAAACGTTTCAGGTAAGTGTCTAATTAATTGCTCTGTAATAGGAAACTAAGATGTTTATATCCATAACATTACATGGAAAGCTGCGTCAGCATCTTTAGATGTGATTTCAAAACTGTGAATTTGATATGATCACTTATTCTCTCTCATTTTTAATATACACAGTGACTTTTTGTTTCAGGTATTGAACTGATCCCTCAAGTGAGGATAGAAGATTTAAAGCAGATGAAGGTAAAATTACTCCGTCATTTTGCCAGCACTCTCATGTTCTGCCTGTTGGTGAAACTGACTTATTTTTGTTTCTCACCAACTGTAATCATTGTGGTAGTACTACACAAACTTATTTGGGATCCTGTTTTTCTGTCCCCCCCCTCCACAGGCTTACTTGAAGCATTTAAAGAAACAACAGAAGGAGCTCAATTCTTTAAAGAAGAAACATGCAAAGGTACAGTGTTTTGTGTGGGCAAGCAATATGTGTGTGTAGTTTTGTTTGCTTGTTTGTGTGTTTTTTCCTTTCAGCTCTCTGATGAAACCTCACAGCCAAAAACACTACTTAGAAACTGATACCAGCCAACTGGGCAGAAGGACCTTCATTTTAACTGGTTAGAAATGAAATTTAAAAATAGAATCCATTTGGGATTGGTTGTCACTGATTTGTTATCTGTGTTTCTAACATTTATTTCAAAAGCATAACAAAGCTTCACCCATTTCAAAATTGTTTCATAATTTGACTTTATCTAAACGAGTGGGCTGTCACCTGACTATTGAAAACCAGCGCATAGTCTTAGTCTCTGGGTACCGAAATTCCCTTAGTCACTGGCAAATAGTTTGCCATACACGGTGTGTCAGGGGAGATGATGGCCAGCTCCAAACTTCTCACCCAAGCCACCTAGAGAAAGAGCTTGTCTCATCTTCCCCCCATTATGTAAACTCTGCTTGCTGGCCTACTTATGGAATATAGTTGTTGTTCCTACTTACCCATAAGAAGAGGTCTTCTGACAGTGATCATGAGAAATTCTA